TGAGTTTATGTTTGGTAGGTCAACAATGGAAGCGATATATCTTTTGAGAAGAATAATAGAAAAATATAGAGAAAAAAAGAAGAAGAGACACTCATATGATTTTTATCAATCTTGAGAAAGCATATGATAGAGTGTCTTGAGATATAATCTGGTGGTTGTTAGAGAAGAAAGATGTGACAAAAGGTTACATTGATGTGATTAGGGATATGTATGAAGGTGTGATGACCACTATTAGATCGCCTGCTGGAGAAACTAGTGAATTTCCAATTACTGTAGGGTTACACTAAGGATCAACCTTAAGTCCTTATCTTTTCGCTTTAGTTTTGGATGAGTTGACTTGCAATATTCAAGATGATGTGTCATGGTATATGCTGTTTGCAGATGATATCGTGTTAGTGGATGAGACTAGAGAATGAGTTAATACTAAGTTGGAGATTTAGAGAAAAGCACTTGAATCTAAAGGATTTAGGATAAGCAGAACTAAGACAGAATATATGGAGTATAATTTTAGTAACAGTCACAATGGAAGCAAAAGAGAAGTGAAGATTGAGAACCAAGAACTACTTAAGAGTGAACATTTTTGTTATTCAGGATCGATTATCACAACGACTGGAGAGATTGGAGTGGATGTAGTCTATAAAATTAAGGCGATGTAATTTAAGTAGAGGAGTGCGTATGGAGTATTGTGCACTAAACGAGTACCCATTAGGCTAAAAGAGAAGTTCTATAGAACGACTATTAGACCAACGATATTGTACGAGATGGAATGTTGGGCAACTAAGAAATAACATGCAGATAAGATTAGTGTTGCTGAGATAATGATGCTAAGGTAGATGTGTGGCAAGCCTAGAAAAGATAGAGTTATAAATGAATATATTCGAGAATGGGTAAAAGTAATACCGATAGAAGATAAGTTGAGAGAGAATAGATTGAGATGGTTTGGTCATATACAACAAAGACTAACAGAGGCAGTAATGAAGAGATGCGATATAGTGATGGTAGATGATAGTGTTAGGGAAAATGGCAGACCTAGATTGACGTGGACTAGTGTAGTAAATAGAGATATGAATTTCCTTAATTTGACTAACGAAATAACCTTGGATAGAGTTGAATGGAGAAGAAGGATTCATGCAACTGGTCCCATTTGATGGGACTTAAAGCATAATTTGATTTGGTTTGGTTTGGAATATTTAATAAAAGAAAATTAATTTGTGAAGTACTAATTCTATAATTCAAATTAAGTAGAATTCTTTTATTTATTAGATTTTAACACAGTATAAGAGTAGATTATTGTGGCATTTTTAAAAAAAAATACGAGGGAAGGGTGATGCACAACATAAGAGAAAGAAAAAAAAAAGAAGAGAAAATAGATATGCCGCATAAAAAAATAAATAAATACTACTACTTTTAATATATATATATATATATCAAAAATGATTGGCACCCCCAGTTTTTCAAACCCCCAGTGACCCTCAGTGTTTTCTTATTGGCTGGAATTTTTTTTTTTTTTTTTTTTCCTTTCCAATCACAGAGCCCCATGTGGAGTGGGGTGCTGGGGTCACCCCCCACTGGGGTCCCCAGCACTATTGAAATTTAAAATCTATAGTGATAAATCCAAAATGGTTTGAAGAAAAGATAACTGTAGCGATACGTACGGCACCAATAGAAAAAACAGTACCAGTCTGTATGGGATTCATAGCATTGGCCTAAATTGATGTTATTGCCATTTTTTGGAAAATTTTGTGAATTTACCTCTATTATTAAATTATATTTGGATGCTCTAGAGACATCTTCAAAGGAATGTAATAGTATCAATATTGCCTCTTTTTATTAATAAATTATTAAATTAATTAACAATTTTTCATTATGTCAAAAATATATTTCAATCAATAATTTTATAATTTTATTGTTGCATAGGAGAGTAGTTAGAAATTTTATTATTTTGAGTTAATTTTGCCAAATAAAATTTGTTAAAAATGGGATATTTGTAATTTTTATAACGATAAGGGGTAATTTGTATTTTAAATAAATTTCAAAAGGTGAATTTATAATTTATCAAAAGTATTACTATAACACCAAAGAAAGAAAAGATCTCAAGCCATCAAAAAAAGATCTAAACAAGTGAAACAAATGACTCTTTTGACAAGTTAAAATAATTAAAAAGTTAAAAAACACTATAAAAAATTTAATTTTTCTATATGTCTGTATGTAAAAAGTTAAAAATTTTAACAAAAAATAGTCAATTCCTAAAACAACTAGAATATCACCAAAATAAGGCCCTTTGTTATAAGGGAAAATTACAAATCAGTGTGATATTTCAAAAATAATTACTCAATCATGGAAATCTTTATAGCTTTAATTATTAAAATTTGTAAAGTTTATCATTAATTTAATTAATTAATTAATTATTATATATATTTTTTAAATATGAGAAGTTGTTATTGCCCCAAGTAGCTTTGGCTGCAAATTTATATTGTTGGTCGCTATATTTTGGTCATTATGTTAGTTCCTATAATTTAATTGTATCAATTTTGACCCTAAATCTTTTATTTTGTCTCATATTAATCCAATTGCTTTCAATTATTAGTAATTTTTTATGGCAAAGGTGCACATGATTGACCTGTGTCATACTTTTAACAGTAAAATTATAAACTTGATCAATTCAGTAACTTAGTGCCAACCAATTCAATGAAATTTTTCTATCAAAAACCCTAACGACATTATCAATGAAACCAAATTGACATAAAATTTAAATTAAGGGTCAAAATTGAGCTAATTGAAACTCTAGAGACTAAAATGACATAAGCAACAAAATATAGGGATTACAGATATAATTTGTCCAAAAATCTATGGTAATACGAAAATTTTAAAATGTTATGATTTTTTAACAAAAAAATTATCAATTTTGTTATGTTATGTTAATTTGTGATCAAAGTTATTTATGATATGTAAGTTTTATTTTTGTTAAAGAAAAAAATATTATATCATTTATAATTTATGTTACAAAATTTAATAATATTATTATGACGGACATACCACATACATAATTTTAATGTGTTATAAATATAATAGCATATCCCAACATCATGATCATAGCATAAGAAAGGGTAAAATTACACTGACCTCATTTGCTATTTAGATAAAAAATGTTTGTACATATTTGACTCGCCCAATTTTAGCAGTGCTTGTTCACAAAAAAATAAAAAATAAATAAAAAATAAATAAATAAAATTAATTGTGTTACAGATATAATATCATTTCCTTCCAACATCATGATCATAGTATAAGAAAGCGTAAAATTACAATGCTCTCATTTGCTGTATAGAAAAAAATATTTGTTCATATTTGATTTGCTTGTGAAACGAGTCCAATCACATATAAGGGGCGTGCAGACCATATAATATAAATAATAAATTAATCTCTCTATTAATTTAAGTTTTTAAATGAGTTGATGGTAAACATTTCAATAAAAAATATCATAGATAAATTAAGATCTTAATACATAAAGTACCTTAAAATAATAACCTAATAAATTATATATTAAGATTCTAATTATACTGCTCAAATATGATATAAAATAAGTATTAAAATAATTGAGATAAATATTGAGGAATGACTTATATAAATTTGTTATTGTATTTTATCAATTTGTCTGTAATGCTTTTCTTTTCAAAAACTTAATTTTTGGATAAATTACACCAACTTTATTTGAAATTTGAAAAAAATACAGCTAGCCATAGAGTTTTAGCATAATTATATTAATTTTTGTTTTAGTAAAGTTAAGAGATTTCAATTAATGTAAATGGTATGAAAATACAAAAATAAATAAAGTAAAAAATACATTTCACTGTAAAAGATATTACAACAATATTTTTTCATCCGTATGACTAACTAATTTCTAACAAAAAGAGATTAAATGGTTGTTTGGGATGACCTAAATAAGTATACTTTTTGTCTTTTTACGAAAAGATGTGTAGAAAAGTAGAGAGGTGATGCGATGAAAAAAAGGTACAAAAGATAAAAATATAAATTATTTTTGGGTTGCCAAACTCGGCCAAAGTGTTATATGAATAAAAAATCTAGAGAGTTCATTGTAATTATCAAATTTATGGGATTATTGCCTTTTTTTTATTAGTCTTAATTTTTTTTCACTAAACATGGCTTGACCAATAAGCACAAATTTTTGTTAGACAATGACATTTGGGGAGAGAAACCTCGGTGCACAAGCAATTAATTAAGCTTTATTGACAATTTTCACACTAGGCTGTGTTTGGTATGGGTTTTTTTTAGTTATTTTAGTCACAAAAATATAAAATAAATTAAAAAATTAATAAGATAAGATGTACATTTAAATCATAATTATTTTATTTTTTCTATTATAAAAGTTAAATAAAGTCAAACAATTTATCTCAAGCAAAATTTTTTAATTTTAAATTATAAAAATTAAAAAATCAAAAAACTAATCCCTATCCGAAACGAAGGCTTAAGCAGCCTCATTTCCTACACATGGTCCGCCGGCAATTAATTAAGCTTTATTGACGAGCCTCTATGACATATCGTGTCGGCAATGGTACCAATCATTTCCTAACAATATAGTTTTATTTTGGTCAACAACAATGTGAAGTATCATATAAAAAGTCTTTTATGAAAATGATCATAAAAGATTTGTGACTTTTGGATTATATTTAGAATAAAGCACCACACATTAATCACAGTAATTTAAGGGTCACAAATCTTTCATAATCATTTTCATGAAAAAAATTTTCCTCAATTATCAATCAGCAATGTTAGGTATCATAAAAAAATTTCTGAAAGTAATTATGAAAGTTTCGTAATCTTTGAATTACACTTAAAATAAAACATCATACACTAATCAAGATAATTTAAAAATTATAAATTTTTTTTTGAACCGAGGAATCATAAATTTGTTATCATCATTTTCATGACAAAATTTTGAGGATACCTAACTTTTCCCATTATCAATAGAAACAAGTGTTAATTTCATCTCCATGATGATTTGCTTGAACACTTTTAGAGTCATGTTTCTTTCCTTTCTTTGCTTCCTTTGTCTCATCACTAAAGCCGTCTCTGGACCCTTTTGGCTAGACTGTCCAAACACAACTACCTACTCTCCAACCAGCACATACAAAACCAACCTCAATACCCTCCTCTCTGTCCTCACCTTCAAAGCCAACACCACCAATGGTTTTTTTAACTTCACCACCGGCCTCAACTCACCGGACGTCGTTCACGGCCTCTTTTCATGCCGTTGCGATGTGTCGAAAAATGATTGTCAAAATTGTGTGGTGACTGCAAGCAAAGAAATACTAAAGTTATGCCCCACACAGAAAAGGGTGATAGTGTGGTATGACAATTGCTTGTTGCGTTACTCAAATCGATATATGTTCTCAATTCTGGATCAATTGGCCATAGCTCAAAAGTTTGATCCACTTGATCTTAAAGATTGGGACCGGTTGAGGCGGGTTTTGGGGGAGAGGATGGAGGATATAGCGAATTGGGCAGCGAATCATCAATCGGGCAAGAAGTTTGGTCCTAAACGCGCTGTTAGATCTCTGTTGTCGATTGGTTTTGAATTGGATGACTCCAAAATTATATCGAAAGCTACTGCATCACCGCTAGCGTCGGTCTCTCCTCCTCCTCCAGGTCCGGCAAGAAGTTCAGGTAATCTCCAAACAAAACATACATGTTTTGTCTTTTCTCTGGGCTTGATTAATAGCAGTTTTTGTTAGAACTCCTGTAATAAAATACAAAAATGATTTAGAAATTAGATATACAAAATTAAACCAATCAAATAAAAAAATGTGAGTGAAATAGTATAAAAATAAACAATAAATTTAAGACAATGGGTCATGCTATGCCTGTGAGTCATTGAGTGTGAAAAGTATTTACAAAGATGAGAAATATTATGAATATAGACTTAATTATTCAAAAATTATTCAGAATTGTCATTTAATAGTTCAGATTTATTTCACACTATCCAAATTCAATCTCAACCATACAATCACCCTTCTCGGTAATTTTGGGAACCGTAATTCTGGATCCCCAGGTTTATTCTAAAAAGATATATACGGCCTGTGAGTCACAAAGAAAAGAAGATATTTTTGAATTTTTAAATATTATTTTAACCCTAAAAAAATTGTAAAATTATATGAAAATAATAATGTGTTTTATTTATTTATTTTTATTAAATTAGTTTTTAATTTTTTTTTTTAAAAACATAAATTTTGAAAATCAAACAAAACAGAGCATGTTTCTTCCTCTACACACGGAGTACAAAAGCTCCAAAATATAATCTCCGTGATCACTAGAATACAAAGAAATGGCAAAATAGTGTAACAAGTGCTCTAGAATACACACATTCTGTTTAATTAGCGAGATTAATAGTAAAGGAATTAACAATTCATGACCAAAAGATATGAAACCATAATCTTAATAAATCTATAATTCATGTTACCGTACCATGCGGGTCACCATATGACTAAATAATTAATTTAGTCTTATACTTTTCCCTAAGTCTCACAATCATTATTTATAAAAGAACCAGTCCTAATTACAATAGGAACCAATCTTAATTACAATAGGAAATAAGTTAGGAAAGATAGAGCTCGCTAATCAAGTTTAAATGAAAGAGAATATACAAATTATCAAAAATAGAGAGATTTGAGTTAAGTTCAAATCTGAAAATTAGAATAAAATTTACGTATTCTGGAAAAAAAAAAACCCTAGTCTCAAACGGATTTGTCTAGATCAAGTAATTAACGAAACAAATACTTTCAAAAACGGCCAAATCTCGAAACAAATAAAGTGATGAGTATTGATCGTGATATAATTTTTCATATCTGCACTGAATTTCACATTATTCAAAGCATGTAGCAACTTGTGTCTACTACTGCATTTTGCCTTTCCATGAGTTGTAAAAACTCTATGACCAAAACTCTGCATCATATACCAATCAAAAACAACCAAGAAAGCTCATAATTACATGTGAAAAAAGTGATTTTTATCAGTAATACTACTTTATTTATTTTTTGGGACAAAATAAAGAGCTTCATTGATAAAAGAAAATGACTATATAAGGGAGATGCTTACAAAAGCAAATGGATCAACCCTGATCGATCCCACAAAACACCTAACAACTAGCTAAACTAGCAAAGATGAAAATGACATTTAACATGAACAAATATGGTCTAAATCTCCCTGAAACGCCGGTAACTAAATCTGAGAATTAAACACCTTTTCATCCCCAAAGATTGCAAATTGATGGATTAGAACAACTTTCTTCAATTGCATACTTTCTTTTTCATTTTTTCTGAGCATAGTTTTGAAGGAGTTGAGAAGTCTCCATAGTGTCCAAATCCTCAGAATGTGGCTTTGGTGTCAAGATTTTCTTAGATCTATCAACAGAGATTGATACAATCTTTGGAGAGCCAAACATATTGAATCTTTCCACTTGAGCATCATGTTTTTCTAGAGCAGAGTCAACGTCTGGAATCGCATCATTTGGAATAATCCACTCATCCACCTGAGAAATATTTTGCTCACAGTCGACAGTGAAATCATTAACATTGTCTTTGAAGTGTGATAGCTTTTCTGAGAGGTTTGAATTCACATCTTCTTGAACTCTTTCTTTAGAATTTCCACAACAGATGAGCTTTATCGATGAAAAAATCATAACTTTTAGATTGGCATAGATTGTTTCTAGACAAATCAAAACCTTCACACAATTGTTCATATCCATGTAGCATGATCGCTGCTGAGCAACATTGTCATTAAAGATAGAGATCAGAATAAAGAGCTTCCTGGTGATTGTTGAATCAACAGAGCTTGATGTGTCAAGACTGCCTTGGTGCAAAACTTAAGGGGTTGGCCTAGCAGGCAAAACTTGGGGTTTGAAGGTGTGCTCCCATCAGGTTTATGGTTCAATACCCCTAGCAGCAATAAGCTCCTTAGGGCAATGTCCATACATGGTGTTCACCTTGGTTTTAAATGGAGGCCTCCTCAAGTGGGCAGTGGAATTAGTTCCTGGAATTAGTTGAGGTACACGTGAACTACCCCTAACACCTGGTTATATATATATATATATATAAAGACTGCTTTGGAGCAGAGATTGAGTTTGTTGAAGCTTGTGGTGGGCTCAATTGTAGGTAAACTTGGGTAAGAGTTGAAAATCCTTCATGTAGGTCTGGAAACTGTTTCATTCAATGATAAATTGTTATTAGGTGTTAGGATCGCGGTTTTCATCCCATGAGAGTGTTTTTTTCATAGGGTTTCTTCGTTAATTCTTGAGTCTCATGGTTGATTGCTTTACTCTTGATGAGATTGATAGATTTGAATGGTTAATTACCCAATTGATGGATGGATGAATTGATTAGTTAATTAATAGACAAATCATAGTGATACTCCCTACATTTTAGCACTATGTCATTTTAGTTCGTATATTTTCAGTTAACTCAATTTTAACTCTTAATTTTAGATTTCGTATCAATATAGTCTAATTGATAAAGCTGTTAGGGATTTTGACAGAAAATAATCATTGAGTTGGTTGAGGTTAATTTATTGAGTTTAGTAAGTTTATAATTTTGCCCTTAACACATGTCGTTTATTTGCATTTTTTTTCATAAGAAAATGCTAACAATTGTAATCAATTGGACCAAATTGAGACAAAGTCATAAATTCAGGATCGAAATTGAGTTAATTAAAATTACATGGACTAGAATGACATAAGGACCAAAATATAGGGACTACCACTGTAATTTACCTTTAACTAATTAATTATTGAATTTTCTTGTAATGAATTAATCTCATGGTGATTTTCATAATTGGAATTGTTTGGAAAATTGGCCTACTCTCCCACTCTCGGCATAATTTCACTGGTTTGTAACTATTTTTTCAGAGTTTTCATTTATTTTTATGATTCCCAAAATCTATGGTCATTTGCTAATTTGGTTGGGTCCATGTATGCATCATACGTTATTGCATAATTTAGTGCTATGGCATGAGTCATTGTATGTCATTGCAGAATTAAGTGTTGTATGTGTTAGTTTACTTAAGTCCATGTATACTGCAACCTAGTTATGTTCTTGCGGAATTAAACATGTTGTATCGTGGTGTTAGTAAAATTTATGTTAACTCACAATTGACATGAATTGAATAATGATTCAAACCAAACAATCAAACAAGGAAATCAGGTGACTCTATTTTTTGATTCAATGCCTCAAAAGAATGAGAACTTCTTTGGAACAAAAGTTACAATCAACAAGAGAAGCAAAGTAAACCAAAGTAAACAAAAAGTAATTTTGAGATGAAACTAATAAAGTTTACAACAGTTACAAAACTACAGAAAAAAACTACTCTTAATTTAAGAGAAACCACTCCTAAGATAAAGCTAAGTTGTTGTTTTGTTGTTGATGTCCATTTCCTTGCAAATTTCTGGCTTTTATATCTTCCTTTCTTTTCTCTGGTCCATGATCCCATCTTCCTTCAAATCTGCAGGCCACTTTCTCTTGACTGTTGAAAACTGCTTTGGCCCCTTTGAACCATCAAATCTTCACTGCCTTTTCTTTCTAAAGCAAGACCGAACTTCCCAAGCACTGCCACATGTCCCCTATGATTTATTGACCCATATCGACAGGCCATCTTGCCATTTACAAACATTAAATGCCTTCTGAAAGTTGACCCATTACTCTTTCAACTGCTTGTAACTAATCCACTGCTTGTGTGCATGATTGCCTTGACCACATTGCACATACTTTGGCCTAGAAAGTAAAACATTTTTAGGCTTCTTTGCCACATGTCATAAGCAACTTTTCATTCCCCGTCGAGTTACAAAAATGGGTGTAAACATTGCCCCCTTAACTCTTTCAGAATGAGACTTGCTCAAATTCTTGAAGAGTTATAAAATCAAAATTAAATCGATGACAACCCTTTCAACAAACAAACATATATAAAATATATGCCTTCGACCAAGAAATCAGGTGATCAAAGACCATACATATGCCAAAGTAGAACTGTCGATAATCCAATGCCTCTATTATTAATGATCATATGCCACTTAATTGGCAACACTACAATAACACCTAATCCAAGTGAGCTACATTTCATTATCTCACAATTCGACAGGGTAGATGGTTGTTATTTGTGCTCACACAATTTTCGTGGCAACATTCAAAGCATGTGATATTCAAATGGTCAAATAAAACCACCTTCCACCAACACAACAGCTTTGACAACTGTTGCAATTCCCTTTGGTCTTGTTTTGATATTTCATTAAAACAATTTAGACCAATTTTTTTTTCCATGCACTTGAGAACATGATCACAAGCTTTCAACTGTTGTTATTCGACAGTGAAAACACCATTGCTTAACTAGTCACAACTTCAAAGATTCAGAATCGGAAATAAAACATTCCACGAAAATGATGGTACTTTGTGACTTTCATTAGGGTAGAAATAAACTATAAGGCCACAATCGAATGGCCATTGTCTATATTTCTTTGTATAATATTTCTGAATATATATATTTTCCAAACAATGTTGGGTCATTAAAATTGAGTTTTGGTGTGACTCACAAATCCAAAAATAATTTTGAACAACAAAAGTCATAGTATGAAGTGGCTTTGAAACATTATACATCTTGACACTTTCAATAATGACAAAAATTTCAAACTCATGAACAGTTGGTTGTTCATCATTTTTAGCCATAGTTGGCTTGAAATCAAACTTTTTAATCACATTGTTTGCATCACTCTTTGGACTAAGATTTGCAAAAAATGATTGATTTTTCCTTTCACACATTAATGAGTTAGAAATATTTTTTGATAACCTAGAAAATATTTCTTCATTGTGAAATTGCCCCCCCGCCATGAAATTTTTATTCTCACGGCCTTTTGTTTTTTTACCCATAACAATTGATGAATTAACTTTTTCATCATTTACAACCTTTAAAGGCGTAGGAAGAACAACTGAAAAGCTACAAATTTTGGCTTCTATAAAAATTTTCAATGTTCTATTGATGAATTTTGATCTCCAAATGGTCAATTTGATCATCAAGTTGACCAATCACTTTATCAAAATGATTTCGTGTTTCTAACCTCAAATGATATGCCAATGGTGCTATTGTTTGAAATTTTTGTCAATCAAGATAATCAATTTTTTTTTTTTTATAAATATAAATTTCATTCTCACGCCAACACATTTTATCTCCACAAAATCAAATCATTTTATCTATTTTTCTCGACACATCATTACATGAAAATCCACTTATTGGAATATTATGTGACTGTGTTTTACAAGATTTTTTCATGCCGTTTTTTAGGTTTTCTTGTGCTTCCACCGGGTGTGCCAAAAACTATTAGTAAAAATTATGCTAACTCATAATCAACAGGAATTCAACAATAATTCCAACGAAACAATCAAACAAGGAAATCATGCGACTGTATTTTTTAATTCAATGCCTCAAAAGAATGAGGACTTCTTTAGAACAAAAGTTACAATCGAAAAGAGAAGCAAAGTAAACCAAAGTAAACACAAGGTAATATTGAGATGAAACTACTAAAGTTTACAAGAGTTACAAGTTACAAACTACAGAAGAAACCACTCCTAATTTAAGATAAACTACTCCTAAGATAAAGCTAAGTTGTTGTTGTGTTGTTGATGTCCATTTCCTTGCAAATTGCTGGCTTTTATATCTTCCTTTCTTTTCTCTGGTCCATGATTCCATCTTTCTTCAAATCTGCAGGCCACTTTCCCTCAACTGTTGAAAACTGCTTTGGCCCCTTTGAACCCTCAAATCTTCACTGCCTTTTCTTTCTAAAGCAAGACTGAACTTCACAAGCACTGCCACGTGTCCCCCATTTTTTGTTGACCTATATCGACAGGCCATCTTGCCGTTTACAAGCACTAAATGCCTCCTGAAAGTTGACCCATTACTCTTTCAACTGCTTGTAACTGATCCACTGCTTGTGCGCATTATTGCCTTCACCACATTGCACATGCTTTGGCCCAGAAAGTAAAACATTTTCAGGTTTCTTTGCCATGTGTCATAAGCAGCTTTTCATTCCCCATCGACAGAAGAGTCACAAAAATGTGTGCAAACGCGTGGCAACAACATTACGAGATTAATATTCTACATTATGTATTTGGATTAAAATTTAAAGTTCTATACAATTGAATTTTCGTGACCATGTCATCTTAATCATATTTCAAATGAAAGTTAATCTTTTGCTGATTAAGATCTTGAACGATACAATTTGTTGTTGATCCAGGGAATGGGGGAATCATATCTCAAGTACTCATAGCCGTCATAGTTTCAATAGTGGTCTCTGTATTGCTTTTCATCTTGGCCTTTTATTTCCTACGTAGGAAAGCAAAGAAGAAAGACATAGCTCTTCAAGAAGATACATGTAAGCAAGGAAAAAAGAAAAAAGAAAAAGAAAATTTTTTTTTGGTATGCTCTTGTTTAACTGTTTATTCCTGTAAAGATACATTGATAAATTCATTATATTTACTCTTCGGTATGCACAGCTAGGAATGAAATTACAGAAGTTCAGTCCTTGCAATATGATTTGATTGCACTTCAAGCTGCCACAAACAACTTCTCCGATGCTAACAAAATTGGTGAGGGTGGATTTGGTGTTGTGTACAAGGTCAGAAATTATGTTTCAGTAGTTAAAAATACAATCATATATACAAAAAATTTAAAATAAAAATCAAACTTTGAAAATTTTGGATTCATAAATTTGAATGCATATTATATATTCTCAGGGTATACTTCCCAATGGACAAGAGATAGCTGTAAAGAGACTATCTCAAAACTCAAGCCAAGGTGTAGAAGAATTTAAGAATGAGGTTTTATTGGTAGCCAAGTTTCAACATAGAAATCTAGTGAGGCTATTGGGATACTGCTTGGAAGGAAAAGAAAAGATACTCATCTACGAATTTGTACCCAATAGAAGCCTTGACTACTTTTTGTTTGGTAAGGCAATTGTTCTGAAATTATCTTTTTTATTTAATTTCACAATTATAAATGATTTCTATTAGCATAAATTCCCCATAATGTACATTTGACACATTTGGTGCAACTTATGACACTGGTTACGCCCTTTTCTTATTTATAATTTTGGTAGTTTATGCTAGAGTATCACTATTTGGGGTAACTTTTACTTATAGATTATGATATAAAAACAACTTAAATAAGCTAGCATTTAAATTATGGGGAGGGGATGCTTTTAACAGTGTTTATATTATTAGTTTTTAGTTTGCAAGCAAGTACATCAAACAATGCTATTCGTAGATTTTATGAGCAATAGATTGAGATGTTGAAATACACATTGTTACAGAAAGATTAAGGGGTTGTTTGGAATGTTCTAAATAAGTGCACTTTTTAACTTTTTATGAAATATGGGTTGAGTTTGAAGTGATATGCTAGAGAGATGATGTGACTTAAATAAGATAGTGACTTTTTGACTTTTTAACTTTTTTAAAGAATGCCAAACTTAGCCTAATTATTCTTTCCAAATAGTATCAATAAATTTTGAGGAGCAATTGGCATTGTAAGTTTATATATTCTTGTGTGTATGCATTTCAAATTGAATAAAACTAGCTCATAATACACCAATTCTAATTCCATATGGCTAACTTTAATATCTACTTTTATCAATGTACAGATCCACAAAAACAAGAAATGCTGGATTGGTCAATACGTTACAAGATTATAAAAGGGGTAGTTCGAGGGATTCTTTACCTTCATGAAGATTCCCAAGTTAATATTATTCATCGGGATCTCAAAACAAGCAATATCTTGTTAGATACCAATATGAATGCAAAAATTTCTGATTTTGGCACTGCAAGAATTTTTGGCGTTGATAAATCCCAAGAAAATACAAGTAAAGTTGTCGGAACATAGTAAGTGTTGAGTTTTGACATCACTTGAATCAATTTTTTCTTGTATCAATTAATGCACATTCAAAATTTATCAAATGACCAGTCGAACTTTAAGCAATGGATAAAAAAATAGAAGGTTAGGCTTTTTGTAGAGGTGGTGGAACAAAAAATAAATGCATATTACTTGTCTATGCCATTATTGTGTGCATTCCCGTTTTACTTATTATGCTACTGATATTGGCTTGTAGTGGTTACATGTCGCCGGAGTATGTATTGTACGGACAGTACTCTGTGAAGTCGGATGTGTTTAGTTTTGGGGTCTTGCTTCTAGAAATCATTAGCGGCAAGAAGAACAATAGCTTTTACCAATCAGACTATGCAGATGACCTTCTGAGCTACGTAAGTACTAAAAACTAGTTCTAATTTCTATGCAGAGGACCTTCTGAGCTTCGTAAGTACTAAAAACTAGTTCTAACTTCTATCATGTTTTGAACAAAGTCATATATATGAACTCTTGTAGGCTTGGAAACTTTGGAACGATGGAAGACCCTTGGAATTGATGGATCCAACTTTGGAAGGGTTTCATTCAACAAATGAAGTTCTTAGATGTATCCATATTGGCTTGTTGTGTGTCCAAGAAGATCTGAATGCCAGGCCCACCATGGCGACAGTACTGCTAATGCTCAACAGTTACTCATATACTATGTCAGTTCCTCAACAACCTGCATTCCATTCTCTCAGCAAAACAAGGTCAAATGCACTTAAAGGCCTAGAGTCTGGCGAGTCTACATGGTCAGAAGTACCTAAAGGCCTAGAGTCTGACGAGTCTACATGGTCAGAAGCACCTAAAGGCCTACAGTCTAATGAGTCTACAACTAAGTCAATGCCATGGTTAGTTAATGAAGCAACAATTACTAAAATGTACCCAAGATAATATGAGAAGAGTAGTCCAAATCACAATTGTAGAATAGCTTTATGTTGTGAGATGAGTAAACTACTCAAATGGGAAAGATGTGTATCAATATTTGAAGGATTCAAAACCTAATGTAGTGGTTTTCAGGAATTCACTCCCTTATTTCTGTTACCTGATTCCACTTTTGTAATGGTCATAGGAAAATTCCAGGAGTTCTATAAGAGACAGTCCACATATTCATATGATGTCTGATGTGTTTGTAACTAAATTGTATGAAATAGTCCAAATTGGCTAAGGTTGAAAGTGTGCTTTTAACATGTACAATCTCAGGTAATATTTGTAATGTCTATGCCAATTTTTACATGGAAGCATGGAAGTCAGCACACAACAATTGGATTGGAAGTATGAAATGGTTGTAAGACCTACCTTTTTTCGAACATACATATTTATTCCAACAAGATATCCATTTGATAATACCTAAATGTAACTCTTTAGATTATCGAATTTTACGTTGTTAGTTTAAATATATTTAAATAAGTTGTAAGCGTGTTTAGTTAACTTTTAAAAGAGTTTTGGAAAAGTTATGTTCATGTTTGGTGAATAAATTGTCAAATAATTTTTTATTGTGTAATTGTCATTTTTGTTCAAAAAGTTGTAGTTGATAATCTAAAACGCAAAAAAGTCAAAGAAGCTCCTTTAACCCAAATAAGCTTAATCAGCTTAATCAGTTGAAGAATCACCCAAATAAGCTTATTTTACCTTCGAAAGTCAATTGAGTATTTTGAGTGTGTCTACAAAGATGGAATAATTCTTATAGAATATTCAAACCAAAAAATGTATGGAAAAATAACAAAGTAGCTGTACTTTTGAAAATAATTACAGATTTATGGTAAATTTGACAAACTTCAATGATTAAAGTCAATTTTTTTTTTTCATAAATCTGTAATTATTTTGGAAAATACCATTGACTTGTAATTTCTCCAAAATGTATTAGGCAAAGTGTTGAAGGTTGTTTTGCTTCAATGAACAGGCCTTTAAGGATGACAAAGTGTCACTTGTGAAAGAACTAATTAAGGATGCAAAACAAATAATAAGTTGAGAAGGAAGAACTGCAATTGATGAATGAACAATTCAATTACAAAAGGAAATGTACCTTACTACTACTCTTAATTTTGTGGACCGCACGACCTCTATGATTACTATTATGACTGGAGAAAGTTGAGCTTTTATTTAATTATAATAGAGACCCTGAATTTATAATTAATCCATATTAGTAGTTGTTTATTTTTTTTTATAACTACACGTACAAACGACTTTTTGGTTTGACTAGAGATTAGGCTTTGGGCCAAGATGTGCAAATTTTGGTTTGACTTGAGATTAGGCTTTGGGGCAAGATGGGCAAAACCACCTCTTTGGACCCCTGAAAAATTAGTGAAATAAAGGGTCCCATAATTTTTTAGCTCTTAAACTAGTCCACATAAAAAATCCATATGAATTTGAAAGGATTTGATAAAATTCGGTGAAAAATCAAAATTAATAGATGGTTGGTGTGGCGAATTATTTAAAGCTAATAGATAATTGTTTTTACCAAAAAAAATAAAAAATGCGATTGATATTGTGACTTATTTGAAATTAATAGAGGGTTATTTCTCAAATGCATGAATTGTGTATATAATACAAAAAATTATACTAGTTACAGATTACCTTTGGTCAACTATGTTACAAAAAGGATTAATAAATTAGCAGTTTTATCAATTGAAAATGATTTAGTTGATAAGTTGGATTATGCAAGCTTGATTAGCAATTTTGTAGATAAAAATGTGAAAATGATGATGTTCAAGTGATATTTTATTACAATTTATTCATATTTTATTTAGTGTTTAAGCTCGGATTATTTGATAATTTTTTTTTTCCCATAAACCTTGTTATATATTTAAATAAATTTTACTAGTTATATATGGAAATAACCTTTTTATAAATATTGTCAAAATAAATAAATACATAATCTTTTGATCATAATATATATATTTTAAATGTAAGAAAGGCCCCATAACAAAAGTTCACTTTGACCAGTGAGTGACGATTTCAGAAAAGACATTCAAAAATTCAATTTTTTTAGACTTTTTAATTCACACACAAATAAATAAATAAAATAAAATTCTAATATATTGATATCATTGTTTCAAAAAATAAAATGTAGATACAAAAAATTGCATAAATATGTTTTATTTTTATCACTAGAATGATTAAAAAAAAGAGAGAGAAAAGCTCCTTTAATTCAAATTGAGATAAGCTATAAAACTATTCATCAACATTAACATTTAGGTGGTACATTTGTTGAAAATTGCAAAATCACACATTTTTGTCAACAAGAAACTTTGCACTAAGTGAGAAAGCAAAACTCCAAAACATGTCGTGTGTCACAAATCATATATATTGATTAAAGGGTTATGAGTTAAGTTGAGTTGGGTTGGGTTGTGTTGGATTGAGTGTTCAAGAAAGTGGACTGAGTGGGTGTTCAACTATAATGGGTGTTCAGGAAAGTGGGGTAGGATAGAAAGTGGGTTAGGATATTCAATATAAAATTTTAGATTGAATTACATATATATATATATATATTTATTTATTTATAATTAAAAAAAAATAAATTCAAGGCTTTCAATAGCATTGGGTGTAGAGTTGCCCCGCTTTGAGCTGTAAAAATATCAAAGCCTTGGAGACGTAGACTCTTTAGGCCTGTTAGGCAATTTTTATGTGTTAATATTATAAATTTTTTTTGTCCAATGCATGAATACAGGAGAAAGAAATGTTACAAGCAATTATTTATTTTTATTTATATAAGTTTTGTTATTTGTATTGAAGTAGTTCAAGAGTTTCCTTAATTTGAAAGGTCATTGTACAATGGCTCAATTGGGCCATATAATGAAGACTTTTATTTAATACGTTAGAAGTCATATGCATATGTGTTGCCTTCATCGACCTTATTACTTTTCGTCGTTGGAAATGAGACACGGCACGGTGTTTTCATTTCTTGCATTGGGTCAAGTACGGCTTGTCAACATTTGTGGAAATTGGACAATATGCATGACAAATATAAGAAAAAGATAGTTGTAATATATTATTGGAATATTTCACTAAGAACCGTTCATTATTTATGAATATCATCTTAACCCCCTCTTCTATGAATCCATTCATGTTAACCCCCCTCAATTATGAAAATCATACAAATATACTTATTCTGAAAGTGATTCAGAGGAAGCGAAAGTGATATATTTTTATAATTTAAGAAGTCAAAATATGAGTTTATAGATGAGAGGGTTAAGTTGATATTCACAAGTACTTGAAGGAGTCTTGGTGTAATTAACTATATTACTAACTTTAGTCTTTATGTGATTTCTTGCGTGTCATAGTAAGTTTCACTAGTTTTTAAGAGTTAATTACAGTTTTTACCCTTACAATTTAATCCAAATTTCACGTTAGTTCTTATAATTTCAATTTAAGCATTTTAATCTCTAAATTTCAAGTTTAGTTTCAATTTGATCCCTTCATTTAAATTTTTGTTAATTTTGTTTATTTGTACACTTTAAAAAATTGATAAGTTTTTCTAAATTGTTAATTTTAACATCAAATTTAGATAGAATGACCAAATTAAGATTAGACTTAAAGTGACAGCTGTCTAAAAATTGTTAATTTTAACCTTAAATTGAAACTAAACTTAAAGAATAGAAACTAAATTATTTAAATTGAAATTTGAATTAACTATAAGGGTGAAAAGTGTAATTAACCCAATTTTTAAATATAATACACATAGGCATGACTTTTATTATATAAACCAAGACCCTAATTGGTTTAATGATTGTATAGTACCCTTTTTTAGTGTAAAATTGTAGGTTTAACTCATATAAATAGAAATTTAATATCCTTTATAGTTTTTATTTCTTATCCATTATGTGAGTTGTATGTAATTTATTTCTTTTTAAGTTTGAGGTATTATTGCTGCGCTTGGTAACTATTGTCTTTCTAATTAAGGGAAAAAGTGCATTTTACCCAAAATTGAACTTGAAATTTGGGCTATGAAATGAAGGGGTAAAGTTACAAGAAGATGAGTTAGCTTTTGGCTCTTGGCAGCATCCTTGCTTTTGATAGAAGATGTTTTCATATAAAATACTTTGTGGGTGTTTGGGAAGTGGATTTTTATATAGGCTTTTTTAGTTATAGGATATTATTGGATAAATTTTTTTTGGTATTTGAAAAGATAGTTGGGGTTTTTTTGTGGTTGGATGTGATGTTTGTAAGAAAAAAAGTGAAATAATTATGGAGTTGAATGAATACGAATTGTGTATTTTGTAGAAAATTTTGTGTATATCATTAACACACACACACACACACAAAAAAAAAAAAAAAAAAAAAAAAAAAAAAACCTAGACAGCCATTTGTGGCTGTTGATAAAGCAGACCAACAAGTTTTGTACTTTGATCAATAAGTTTTATAAGTTTTATACTTTGATCGGATACTCCAATAAAGCCATTTGTGGCTGTTGATAAAGCAGACCAACAAGAACATTTGTTACGTTGTGGGGGACGACCTTCCTCCAAATGGAAATTTCAAATTTCCTTTCCGTTGTTTCTCTTGACCACCCCCGTCTCTCTCAAACCTTATTTCATTTGAGCAAGTCTCTAAGTAAGGCAATTTCAAAATTTCACACCTATTGCTTTCCCTTGTTTCTCTTGACGACTCCCATCTCTCTCACACTTCATTTCATTTGAGCAATTCACGCCCATTGCTTTCCCTTGTTTCTCTTGAGTCTTGACCACTCCCATCTCTCTCAAACTTTATTTCATTTCAGCAAGTCTCTTTAGTAGGGTAATTTGAAACAGTCGTTTAATTTGAGAATAGACTATTTTAGTGATTTTTAATTTTTTTTACTTAAATATGAGTAAAAAAAAATTGTATTTTTGAGATAATTTTTTAATTTTTTTTTTAAAAAGCGTGCAAATAATGGAGTGAAAGTGAAATCTTTAACTTTTTTTGCACAATTATTTGAATTTTTGAACTTTTTAATTTCCAGTGACTTTTTTATTAGGGTGAATTATACTAACAGTTCCTTGGAATCCGTGTCACTTTGGTTTCTAACTTTTCAATTGTGACACATTTGACCCTAAATTTTAAATCTTGTTTCAAATAATTGTTTCAAATAAGAACAATTGAAGATACCATTGCTCAATTTCAAGGACAAAGTTGTCAATTTGATAAAATATAAACTAATTTGATAAAAATAAATGACAAAAAAATATTTTTGAATTTTTAAAAATAATTTCTATTCACCAAAGATAAAATTATGTA